CGGGGACAGGGACACGGGGACAGCGGGGACAGCAGGGACAGGGACATGGGGACAGCGGGGACAGGGACACGGGGACAGCGGGGACAGCAGGGACAGGGACATGGGGACAGCGGGGACAGCAGGGACAGGGACACGGGGACAGCGGGGACAGGGACATGGGGACAGCGGGGATGGGGACATAGGGACAGGGATGTGGGGACGGGGACATAGGGGACAGGGGGATGGGGGACAGGGACACGGGGACATGGGAGACACGGGGAACAGGGGACATGGAGGACATGGGGCATGGGGGACACAGGGGACTTGGGGGACATGAGGCACATGGGGATAGAGGGGACATGGGACACAGATACAGGGGACATGAGGCACATGGGGGACATGAGGCACATGGGGGACATGGGGGACATGGGGGACATGGGGGACATGGGGGACATGGGGGACATGGGGGACATGGGGGACATGGGGGACATGGGGGACATGGGGGACATGGGGGACATGGGGGACATGGGGGACATGGGGGACATGGGGGACATGGGGGACATGGGGGACATGGGGGACATGGGGGACATGGGGGACATGGGGGACATGGGGGACATGGGGCACAGGGCACACAGGGGACATGGGGGACGGGGGACACGGGGGACATGGGACACAGGACGCAGGGACATGGGACACAGGAGACATGAGGCACATGGGGACACTGGGGATGGGACACTTTGGGGACATGGAGGACACTGGGGACAGGACACCTTGGGGACATGGGGGACACTGGGGACATGCGGTGAGTGGAGGGCACAGGGGACACAAGGGGCGCTGGTGCCATGGGGGCCATCGAAGGCTCACAAAGGACACGGCACACACCCGGTGCCACACCGCCCGCTCCGTCACCATCACCGACGTCCCCACCGCCCTGTCCCCTCCGCAGTGCCACCGCTGCCCATCCTGAACCCGGGCCCGCCGCTGGAGGAGGGCCAGGGCCGGACGCTGGCGGCGTCGTGCACGGCCGAGGGCAGCCCGGTGCCGTCGGTGCGCTGGGAGACCGAGGTGCGCGGCACCAACGCCACGCGGCGCTCGGCCCACGCGCGCTCGGCCTCGGTCACCAGCGAGTTCTTCCTGGTGCCCGGGCGCAGCATGAACGGCAAGAGCCTCACCTGCGTGGTGGCACACCCCGGCCTGCGCCACGAGAAGAGGATCACGCACCTGCTCAGCGTCGCCTGTGCGCCACCGGGCACCGCCGGGGGGCGGGGGGACACGGGGGGTGTGTGGGGGGGTGTGGGGGGGTGTGGGTGGCATTGGGGACACGGAGGGTGTTGGGGACATGGAGAGCACTGGGGACATGGAGAGCACTGGGGACATGGAGGGTGTTGGGGACACGGAGGGTGTTGGGGACATGGAGAGCACTGGGAACATGGAGAGCACTGGGGACATGGAGAGCACTGGGGACAAGGAGAGCACTGGGGACATGGAGGGTGTTGGGGACATGGAGGGCACTGGGGACATGGAGAGCACTGGGGACATGGAGAGCACTGGGGACATGGAGGGTGTTGGGGACATGGAGGGCACTGGGGACACGGAGGGTGTTTGGGACACGGAGGGTGTTTGGGACATGGAGGGTGTTGGGGACATGGAGGGTGTTGGGGACATGGAGAGTGTTGGGGACATGGAGGGTGTTGGGGACATGGAGGGTGTTGGGGACATGGAGGGTGTTGGGGACATGGAGGGTGTTGGGGACATGGAGAGTGTTGGGGACATGGAGGGTGTTGGGGACACGGAGGGTGTTGGGGACATGGAGGGTGTTGGGGACATGGAAGGTGTTGGGGACATGGGGAGTGTGGAGAGCACGAGGGATGTGGGGTGGCATTGGGGACATGGGGGGTGGCAGGGGACATGGGGTGTGATGGGTGTTTGGGACATGGAGGGTGTTGGGGACATGGAAGGTGTTGGGGACATGGGGAGTGTGGAGAGCACGAGGGATGTGGGGTGGCATTGGGGACATGGGGGGTGGCAGGGGACATGGGGTGTGATGGGTGTTTGGGACATGGAGGGTGTTGGGGACAGAGGGAGTGTTGGGGACATGGGGTCTGTGGAGGACAATGGGGACATGGAGGGTGTTGGGGACACAGGGGACCCTGGGGACATGGAGGACATCCTGGGCTCAGGGGACGTGGAGGGTGAGGGGGGCATTGGTGACATGGTGGGGAGCTGAGGGACATTGGGGACATTGGGGACACTGGGCAGCTGGAGGGTGTTGGGGACATGGATGACACAGGTGACACCGGGGGACACTGCCATGGAGGACCTTGGGGACACCGAGGGTGGCGCATTGGGCATGGGGAGGATGAAGGACTCGGGGGGGACACCTTAGCCATGGGGGGCACAGTGGGGCGGCGGGACCTTGTCCCCTGACTGTCCCCTCGGTGTCCCCTGACTGTCCCCTCGGTGTCCCCATGTCCCCCAGACCTGTCGGACGCGTCGGTGCTGGGTCACACGGCCGAGTGGCAGGAGGGGATGGAGGGGGCGGCGCTGACCTGCCTGGGGGATGGCAACCCCCCCCCGACCTACAACTGGACACGGTGAGGCCACTGTCACCTCCTGTCACCTCCTGTCACCCCCCCCATGGCACCCTGCCCTGGGTCCCCTCGCCCGTGTCCCCCTGTGTCCCCAGAGCACGCCTGTGTCGCCGCCAGGGTCTGGAGTGTGTTCGTGTCCTTGTGGTGTCCCCTGCCCCAGCTTTGTCCCCACTGTGTCCCCCTGACTGTGGCCACGTCCTGGCCATGTCCCACGGCCCTGCTGTGTCCCTGCCGTGTCCCCCTGTCCCTGCCGTGTCCCCCTGTCCCTGCCACATCCCCTGTCCCTGCCACATCCTCCTGCTCCCGGGCCGTGTCCCCCATGTCCCTGTTGTGTCCCCATGTCCCTACAGTGTCCCTTGTCCCTGCCACATCCTCCTGCTCCTGGGCCGTGTCCCCGTGCCCACGTCCCCACCGTGTCCCCCCTGTCCCTGCTGTGTCCCCCTGTCCCTGTTATGTTCCTGCCACATCTCCCCACTCCCCAAATTCCTCGCCCCCGCCCGTCCCCCCGTGTCCCCCCCGTGTCCTCGCCTGTCCCCCCGGTGTCCCCGCCTGTCCCCCCCGTGTCCTCGCCTGTCCCCCCCGGTGTCCCCGCCCGTCCCCCCCAGTGCCCCCGCCGGTCCCCCCGGTGTCCCCGCCCGTCCCCGGTGCCGCCGTGGCTGTGCCCGGCAGTGCCGCGTGCCCGGACAGGCCCCGCGGTGCCCGGCTGGGCGTCACCCGTGGGAACCGGCACCGCCGCCTTTGATGCCACCGCCGCCACCGCCGGCAGCCCGCACCCGCACGGGCAGGCAGCGGGTGTCACCGGGGGTGTCACCGGGGGTGTCACTGAGGGTGTGACCGGGGGCTGTCACCAGGAGCTGTCACCGGGGACTGTGACTGGGAGCTGTAACCGGGGGGTGTCACTGAGGGTGGGACGGGGGGCTGGCACGGGGGCTGTGACTGGGGACTGTCCCCAGGAGCTGTCCCCGGGGACTGTCACCGGGAGCTGTGACCGGGAGCTGTGACCGGGGACTGTCACCGGGAGCTGTGACCGGGAGCTGTGACCGGGGACTGTCACCGGGAGCTGTGACCGGGGGCTGTGACCGGGGGCTGTGACTGGGGGCTGTGACTGGGGGCTGTGACCCGAGGCTGTCCCCGGGAGCTGTCCCCGGGAGCTGTGACCGGGGGCTGTGACCGGGAGCTGTCCCCGGGAGCTGTCCCCAGGGTCTGACAGCCGGGTGTCCCCGCAGGGTGGACGCTCCGCTGCCCGCGGGGGTCAGGGCCAAGGGGGACACGCTGCTTTTCCAGCGGCCGCTGGCCGTGGCCGACGCCGGTGACTACGTGTGCCGAGTGTCCAACCGCGTGGCCGCCAAGGAGGCCCGGGCCAACGTCAGCATCCGGGGACGCGCCACAGGTGGGGACAGGGACAGTGGGGACACCTCCGAGGGCTGGGGGGTGGCAGAAGGGAGAGGGGGTGGTGAGGGGAATGCTGGGCTTGGTTTCTCCATCTGTCTGAATGTCCGTCTGTCTGTCCGTTCATCCGACCATCCACTTGTCCATCCGCTCATCTGTCCATCCATTCATCCACTCATCTGTCCATCCGTCCGTCTGTCCGCCCATCCATCCACCCACCCATTCATTCGTCTGCTTGTCCACCCGTCTGTCCATTCATCCACCTGTCCATCCCCCTACCTGTCCATCTGTCCCTCCACCCATCCGTCCCTCCCTCCTCCGCTCCTCCCACCCTGTGCCCGTCCCACCCACGTCCATCCCTCTTCCACGCCCGTCCACTCATCGTGTGCTCATCCACCCCTGCTTTACTCACTGCCTGCTCACCCTCCCTTCCGTCCCCTCCCCTGCCCCTCTGTCCCCTCACCTGCCCCTCTGTCCCCTCACCTGCCCCTCTGTCCCCTCACCTGCCCCTCTGTCCCCTCACCTGCCCCTCTGTCCCCTCACCTGCCCCTCTGTCCCCTCACCTGCCCCTCTGTCCCCTCACCTGCCCCTCTGTCCCCTCACCTGCCCCTCTGTCCCCTCACCTGCCCCTCTGTCCCCTCACCTGCCCCTCTGTCCCCTCACCTGCCCCTCTGTCCCCTCACCTGCCCCTCTGTCCCCTCACCTGCCCCTCTGTCCCCTCACCTGCCCCTCTGTCCCCTCACCTGCCCCTCTGTCCCCTCACCTGCCCCTCTGTCCCCTCACCTGCCCCTCTGTCCCCTCACCTGCCCCTCTGTCCCCTCACCTGCCCCTCTGTCCCCTCACCTGCCCCTCTGTCCCCTCACCTGCCCCTCTGTCCCCTCACCTGCCCCTCTGTCCCCTCACCTGCCCCTCTGTCCCCTCACCTGCCCCTCTGTCCCCTCACCTGCCCCTCTGTCCCCTCACCTGCCCCTCTGTCCCCTCACCTGCCCCTCTGTCCCCTCACCTGCCCCTCTGTCCCCTCACCTGCCCCTCTGTCCCCTCACCTGCCCCTCTGTCCCCTCACCTGCCCCTCTGTCCCCTCACCTGCCCCTCTGTCCCCTCACCTGCCCCTCTGTCCCCTCACCTGCCCCTCTGTCCCCTCACCTGCCCCTCTGTCCCCTCACCTGTCCCTCTGTCCCCTCACCCACCTGTCCACCCCATCTCCCCCCCATTCTCTTCCCACCTCGGGTTTCTCTCTCTTTGGGTTGTCCCCACAATCCTTGTTGGGTTGTCCCCCCCAGCCCCCTTGGGGTGTCCCCACTTTGAGGTGTTCCCCACTTGGGGTGTCCCCCTGACCCTCTCTGAGGTCTGCTGTCTCTTTGGGGTGTCACCCTGACCTTCTTTGGGGTGTCCCCCGACCCTTTTTGAGGTCTCCCCCTCTTTGGGGTGTCCCCCTGACCCCTTTTGGGATTTCCCCCTGCTTTGGGGGTTCCCTTGACCTTCTTTGGGGCGTTTCCCCCTTTTGAGGTCTCTCCTCTATTTGAGGTGTCCCCTGAACCTCTTTGGGGTGTCCCCTGACCCCCATGGGGTGTCCCCCTTGGTTTGGGGTGTCCCCCCGGTTTGGGGTGTCCCCTGACCCCCATGGGGTGTCCCCCCGGTTTGGGGTGTCCCCTGACCCCGCGGGGTGTTCCCCCGGTTTGGGGTGTCCCCCTGGTTTGGGGTGTCCCCTGACCCCCATGGGGTGTCCCCCCGGCTTGGGGTGTCCCCTGACCCCCATGGGGTGTTCCCCCGGTTTGGGGTGTCCCCTGACCTCGCGGGGTGCCCGCAGAGGACCCCGTGCGCCGCGTGGACCTGGTGTCGGCCTCGGTGGTGGTGGTCGGGGTGATCGCCGCCGTCCTGCTCTGTGTCCTCGTCATCGTCGTCGTGGTCATGACCCTGTACCACAAACGCAAGACACAGCGCATCTCCGAGAAGTAGTAAGGGAGGGGACACGGGGACACGGGGGGACACGGGGGGACATGGGGGGACGGGATGACGTGGGTCAGTGGGAGACAGGATTGACATGGGGACACATGGGGACATGGAGGGACACGGGGGGACATGGGGGACATGGGGGACAAGGGTCAGTGGGAGACAGGATGGACATGGGGACAGGGGGACACGGGGACATGGAGGGACATGAGGGACATGGGGGGACATGGAGACACGTGGGGACATGGAGACACGGGGGGACATGGGGGACAAGGGTCAGTAGGAGACAGGATGGACATGGGGACACGGGGGACACATGGGGATGTAGGGGGCATGATGGGGACATGGGATAGACACAGAGGACATGGCAGGACATGAGGGACATGGGGGACACAGGGACAGGGGGGACACGGGGGGACATGGGGGACACAGGGGACAAGGG